TCTCAGATCTGGAAAAACTGATGCTGAAATTCATATGAAGACACAGGAGACCTCGAAAGGCTAAAGCATTCTTGTACAAAAAAAAAAAAGCCGGAGGCATCACAATACCATACTTCAAGACTTACTACAGGGCAGTTGTAATCAAAACAGCATGGTACTGGTACAGAAACAGATGGATAGACCAATGGAACAGAAGAGAAACACCAGAAATCAACCCAAACATCTACAGCCAACTTATATTTGATCAAGGATCTAAAACCAATTCCTGGAGCAAGGAGAGTCTATTCAAAAAATGGTGCTGGAAAAACTGGATTTCCACATGCAGAAGCATGATGCAAGACCCCTACCTTACACCTTACACAAAAATCCACTCAACACGGACTAAAAATCTAAACCTGAGATCCGACAACATCAAATTATTAGAGAACATTGGAGAAGCCCTGCAAGATATAGGCACAGGCAAAGACTTCTTGGAAAAGATCCCAGAGGAACAGGAAGTCAAAGCCAAAATTAACAACTGGAATTACATCATATTGAGAAGTTTGAGAAGTTTTTCTAAAAAGTCAAGAAAGTGAAGAGGCAAGTAACAGAGTGGGAAAAATATTTGCAAATTATGCAACCAATAAAGAATTAATAACCAGAATCTACAAAGAGATCAAGAAACTCCACAACAGCAAAACAAACAACCCACTTAAGAGATGGGCCATGGACCTCAATAGACATTTTTCAAAGAGGAAATCCAAACGGCCAACAGACACATGAAGAAATTTCAGGATCACTAGCCATCAGGGAAATGCAAATCAAAACCACAATGAGATTTCACCTCACCCTGATGAGAATGGCTCACATTCAGAAATCTACCAACAACAGATGCTGGTGAGGATGTGGGGAAAAAGGGACACTAACCCACTGTTGGTGGGAATGCAAACTGGTAATGCCACTATGCAGATCAGTCTGGAGATTCCTCAGAAACCTGAACATAACCCTACCACACAACCCAGCCAGCCTACTCCTCGGAATTTACCCAAAGGAAATTAAATTGGCAAAAAATTGAACTGTCTGCACCTCAATGTTTATTTTTTTTTTATTTTTTGACAGGCAGAGTGGACAGTGAGAGAGAGAGAGACAGAAAGGTCTTCCTTTTGCCGTTGGTTCACCCTCCAATGGCTGCCGCGGTTGGCACGCTGCGGCCGGCGCACAGCACTGATCCAATGGCAGGAGCCAGGTACTTATCCTGGTCTCTCATGGGGTGCAGAACCCAAGTACTTGGGCCATCCTCCACTACACTCCCTGGCCACAGCAGAGCAGCTCAAATCACAATAGCTAAAACATGCAATCAATCTAAATGCCCATCATTTAACAGAAGACTGGATAAAGAACTTATGGGATATATACTATACAGAATACTATACAGAGGTAAAAAAAAAAATGAAATCCGGTCATTTGCAACCAAATGAAGGAATCTGGAAAACATCATGCTGAGTGAAATAAGCCAGTCCCAAAGGGACAAATGTCATATGTTCTCCCTGATCGGAGACAACTACCTGAGCACCTAAAAGGAAACCTGGTAAAGTGAAAGGGACACTACGAGAAACAATGACTCGATCAGCCCTTGTCCTGACTGCCAAGGGACAACTTACTATTTTATTCCTTTTGGTATTTGTTTTGTTCTACTTAATACCATTGTTTGAACTCTTTAATTAACACACAATTATTCTTAGATGATTAAATTTAACTAAAAAGTGATCCCTGTTAAATATAAAAGTGGAATATGAGAGGGAAGAAATTCACAGTTTGGCACATGCTCTCTTGGACTTACCTCTAATAGGAGAGCTAGAAACGTGCCAGGGGATTCCAATTCATACCATCAAGGTGGCTTGTACCAATGCCATTTCACTAGTCAAAGTGATCAGTTTCAGTTCATAATTGATCATAATGATCTGATTAAGTGTCAAAGGGATCACATAAACCAGACTAGCGTCTGCTAATACTAACTGATAGAATTAAAAAGAAGACAACAATCCAACATGTAAGTGGATACACAGCAGACTCATAGAATGGCAGATGCATTAAACAGCACTCTGGCCTCAGAATTAGTCCTTAAGGCAGTCATATCTGGCTAAAAAGTCCATGAGAGTATTTCAGGCATGGAAAGCCAAGACACTCTGGCAAAAAAAAAAAATGACCTAAATGAAAGATCTCTGTGAGTGAGATCCCAGCAGAAAGAATGGGTCATCAAAGAAGGAGGTACCTTTCTCTGAAAGGAGGAGAGAACTTCCACTTTGACTATGACCTTGTCTAAATAAGATCATAGCTGGTGAACTCAAGAGGCTTCCATAGCCTTGGTAGTTCATGACAAGAACCTCGGGTGATTACTGATGCCATAAATAAGAGTGTCAATTGTAAAATTAACACCAGCAGTCACTGTGCACCTGTTCCCCCTGTAGGATCTCTGTCCTTAATGTTTTTACTAAGCGAATTAACCTTAAAACTATTCATCAAACTGAACTTTATATCTTGTGTTTCTGTGTGGGTGCAAATTGTTGAAATCTTCACTTAGTGTATACCAAGTTGATCTATATAAAAAGGTAATTGAAAATGAATCATTTGAAGAATGGAATGGGCGAGGGAGTGGGAGATGAGATGGTTGCAGGTAAGAGGAAGGTTATGGGGGGGAAAGCCACTATAGTCCAAAAGTTGTACTTTCACAATTTACATTTATTAAATAAAAGTTTTTAAAAAAGTAAATTTGAAAAAAAGAAAGATCTCCACAATAAACATTTTAAATCTTAAAGAATGTAATAGAAGTCACAAAAAATGGATAAATATTCCATGTTCATTGATTTGCAGAATTAATATCGTATTAGTACACACTAGAACATACTAGTGAAAGCAGTGTATAAATTCAATGCAAACCCAATCAAACTAAAAACAACATTCTTCTCATATCTAGAAAAATATAATGTTAAAATCATATGGACACAAAACAGATCCCAAATAGCTAAAACAATCTTAAACAACAATATAACAACAAAAAATAGATGCATTATAATACCAGATATCAAGACATATTACAGGATACTTATAATCAAAACAGCCTGGTAATGGCACAAAAATAGACTTGCGGAACAATTAAACAGATTAGAAACCCCAGAAATTAATCTGCATATCTACAACCAGCTAATCTTTGACAAAGGAGCTAACATCAATCCCTGGAGCAAGCATAGCATCTTCAACAAATGGAGTTGCAAGAATTGGAACTACACATGCAGAAGTATGATAAAGACCCTAACATACTCCTTTTCAAAAATCAACCCACAATGCCTCAAGAATCTAAATCTTACCTGATGCCATCAAATTACAGAGAAAACTTCAGGGAACCCTACAAGACATTTGCATAAGCAAAGACTTCTTGGAAAAGACCCCAGAACCACAGGAAATCAAAGCAAAAAGAGACAAGTGGGATTACATCAAGCTAAGAAGCTTCTGTTAGCAAAGGAAATGTCCAACAGAGCAAAGAGGCCAAAAACAAAATGGGATAAAATATTTGCAAACAATGGAACTGATAAAGGTTGAATATTCAGGAACTACAAGAGTTCAAGAAACTCAAAACACAACAACAACAACAACAAAAAAGAAACAAACCAGTTAAGGTTGGACAAAGGACATAAACAGGCATTTTTTTTTATTTTCTTTTTTCAAGATTTATTTATTTATTTGAAAGTCAGAGTTACACAAAGAGAGGAAGAGAGGGAGACAGAGAGAGAAAGAGAGACAGAGAGACAGAAAGAGAGAGAGAGCTCTTTCATCTGCTGGTTCACTCTCCAATTGGACACAATGGATGGAGCTGTGCCGATCCAAAGCTAGGAGCCAGGAGCTTTGTCCAGGTCTCCCACGCTGGTGCAGGGTCTCATGCACTTGGGCCATCTTCTACTGCTTTTCCAGGTCATAGCAGAAAACTGTATTGGAAGTGGGGCACTCAGGACTGGAACTCTAAACAAAGGGATGCCGGCACTACAGGCAGCGGCTTTACCTCCCACACCACAGTGAAACCCTACTTGATGGTACATTTTTACTCAACTTCCAGATTCACAAGTAGAGGGGTGTTTGATAAGTACAACTTCTGAATGGTTTCCTTGGACTAAAATAAAAGTTTCTTTTCAAGCAGTGAGGGTGACCTCTGAGACCCCATGTCTTTGATGCCACAGCCCTACACACTTCCTTTCTGCAAAAGAGATTCCCCCTGCAGTTGAAAGAACAGAACAAGGCACAATAATAATTAAAAGAATATGCTCCTGGGGCTGGTGCTGTGCTCAGTGCATTAAAGCTGCAGTTTGTAGCTGTGCATGGGTCTCACACAGAGACAAGGGAAACCTCCCCTCACAATTTCTCCCAACTGGGCTCCTGTCTGTTGTGCCGGGGAGAAGATGGAAAGATTCCTGCAAAGGAAGAACTGCAGACGAAATGAAGGTCCTGGGAACTGGGGCAGAAATTTCTGTAGCTCAGGATGTGAGGAGCACCACTTGCATCATCTCTGACATCCGTGGCATTACACCTCGGATATCCAACTTAACTTAACGTATACTTACCAAAAAATGAGATCTTAGCAGCTCTCCCAGACTGAGAGATGAAGATATCTCAGGAGAGACCAGATCCACATTTCTCTTGGCAGAGGAGCCATTGCAAACGTCAGCAGACACCAGGGAACATCTTCAACCTGCTGGAACACTAGAGGCACCTTTACTGAAAGCAGGATCATCTCAGATAACTGGACCTCCCACAGTTCATAAGATTTTTTCTTCCCACTCCTAGTCTGACTTACTCCAGAGCTCCTGAGCCTGAGACATCAAAGCTGGAATCTGTTCCTTCCATGTGAGTGTTGGTAGACAACTCATGACTTTGGAGGGAAACCTAACTCTCTCCTCCCAGGGCTGCCCACCCCCAACCCCCAGCTGCACGCCTCTGGGTTTGTGCTCAACTTCCCCTGTGGTTCCTCTCACTGTGTCTCTCAGAGCACAGTAGTACACAGCTGAGTCTGATAACTGCAGTGAGGATTTGTGCAGGTGGAAGGAGCTGTCCTTCTTGACAAGAGTGGCGTGAAAACCTTCATGCTCCACTCTCTGGTTTTCTATTGCACTTTTCAACAGGAGCTGAGGACCTTCATGGAGATACTGGACATACCAGAAGAGGAACACTGAAGAGCTGGTTTGATAGCTGCAGTTCAGGGTCAGTGGTGACCCTTCAGAGAGGATAACTGGTCCCTCGGTCTGGGTCACTGAGTCTCCATTCGTCCTTCCTAAAATGATTAAGATGTTGTTATTTAGGAATATGTCAACAGACAGTCAGGGAGGAAGTGGGGCTAGAGATCTTCACCCAGACCTGGGAACAGAAAATCATTTAAAAACCAAACATCACTTACTGACAGTTATCAGCAGGACCACCACAGTCACTGAGCAAGACGCAGAGAGCATGGCTGGTGAGCTGGGAGAAAGACAAAGTCCTGGCAGCCTTAGATATACCCCGGATGTCAGGGTGAAACTCCAGCTCCAGAACCTGGATTCTGGGTAGGAACTCCTGGAGAATCCTTGCTCCTTGGAAAGATAGCCTCCCTGCCCTGCAGCAATTGAAACAATGAAGAGTGAACCAAACATGCACCTGTCAAACCACTTAAGCACGGTGGAAAATAACCCTCATCTGAAGAACGACGCGCCCTCTTGTGGTTTGTCCAAGCATCGGCAGTTTGCATCATGGCTCTCATATTTGACTCCACTCCTCCAGTATATTTGAAGTTAAAAGAGGATTTTGAAGGTTTTCCCACAAAATAACCATAAACCTTTTTTGTGATGTATGCTCCAAATACACTTCATTATAACACGGTGTACACATGATCTTCCACATGATCTCTCAGGCTTGGAAACCACCAGCATCATAGCCAGGCTTTAAACTGTATTTTGATGTTTCAAAAACATGCAATAATGTGAAAACTCTTTTAGGGATGAAAAAGGAAAACTTTCAGTAATGATTCCTTTTTAAAAAGTATTTATCTTCTTATATGAAAGTCAGAGCCACAGAGAGGAGAGACAGAGAGAGAGAAAGAGGTCTTCCATCTGCTAGCTTACCACCCTCCCCAATTGGCCAGAATGGCTGGAGCTATTCCAATCTGAAGCTAGGAGCCAGTAGCTTCTTCTGGGTCATCCACGGGGCATTTAAAGGGGTTCAAGGACTCGGGTCACCTTCCACTGCTTTCCCAGGCCATAGCAGATAGCTGGATCAGAAGTGGAGCAGCCAGGACCCAAATCGGTGCCCACATGCGATGCCAGCACTGTAGTTGGCAGTCACCCACTATGCAACAACACCAGCCCCAGTAATAATTTCTGAAAGCTGTCATCTGTATGGGGTACTGCCATATGACTTCTACATCAATTACTATCACATAATTCTCTCCCTGAAATTGCATCACAACATCCTAGTATGCTGAAATCAACCAAATCATCCAAATAAATTCCAGTATGTGAGAGTAACTGGGAGTACACCAGTGTTCACAAAACAAAAAGCCATTTGATTTTTTCCCACTTCATTTTAGATGGCATGATATGCCATAATTGCTGTCACTGGTGTGCTTGATAAACCCCATGAAGAATAAAACTAGAACTTCCTTTTGACTCTGGCCCAGAACAGCTTACACCTCTCAGGCACATACCTCCCAAAACCACAGGTTCACCTCTGATGCTCTCAGCTTTGCTCTCCATGTCTTCTAACAACAGAAAACTATGCACGTGTGCCCGGGTTGATAATAGCATCTTAAATCTGCAGGTACCACTGAGTAAAGTATTAGCTAGACAAATCTTTTTGTACATATTATTAAAGTTCTTGCCTTTATAGGCAGTAAACTCTTTTAATTTTTAAATTTCTGATCTACATAATCACTGTACATGTATTTGAGCTACTGTGTGATATTTCAACACATGTACACTATGAGTTTTGAACAAATCAAGGTGGTTAGTATTTCCATTTGCTTATCATTATTTTTGGTTGGAGTTTTTTATTTCGTCTCCTCTAATCAAAAAATAATATAAGCTAGTGATGATGTGGAAAAATAGACTGACTGTAGAATGTAAATTAGTACAACTAGAAAACCGCATGGATATTTCTCTGAAATGTGAGATTAGATATACCATAGATTCAGCCATCCCATTGCTGGAAATTTACCGAAACCAATGAAATCAGCATATGAAAGAATTATTTGTATTCCCATGTATATTACTCAATTCACAATACCAAAGATATGGAATCAACCCATATGCCCATCAGTTGACAACTGGATTATGTGGTATATATATAAACACAACAGCACACTATTCAGTCATAAAAAAAGAAAGAAATCCTTTTTTTTGCAACAAAATAGATACAAATGGAAACCATTATGCTTAGTGAAATAATCCAGTCCCACAAAACAAATATATGTTTCTCTCATATGCAGTGTTTAATATGGAATCCAAAAACAAACTATAGGGATGAAATGAACATCTGGTGATTTGATTGTTGGTTTTAGCCCTTGTTGAACCACTATGGAACTGTGCTCTTCTAGTTTTTACTTGTTGAATATTATGATTAGTGGTACATTAAGCCTGTGATTATAGAGTGGATTGAAATTACATTTTTTGCAGATAATTTAAAAGACAAAAAAGATGGGAAGGAAGTAGTTGAATTTAGGAAGGGACAGAGGGACAAGGGGAATATGGTTTTGTTTAGAATTGTACCTATGAAATACATGAAATCTGTTCTCTTTATATTAATAAAAATATGTGCTGAAAATAACCATAAATAACAAAAAGGAAGTCATGTACAGAAGACAATTTTAAGGCAGATTACACCAGTTATTATCAAGACACAATAACATACACCTAGGAATCACAGAGAGAGTGGTGAATTTCCCAAAAGAGCAGGGAACTCCACAAAGAGGAAACTCAACTTGTGGAAACTTTACCACGTAGATCAACATTTTTAACTTTGGAAACACCAAGACTGTGGAGGATGTGAGGAAACAGAATTGACAAAATCTACCCTAAGGAGCACAATGGCTGAAATAACAGCTCAAAACTCAGATTGTCAGTACCTGGTACAATTGAAAATTTTGTGCAAAGGAACTCTGACCTGACACAGATTCAGATTTCAATATAACTGGGAGTCACCAACGCAAGCCATTAGCACAAGTCATCTTCCAACTTCAGGAAACAGGACCATTTGGTGAGTTTCACAGTAATACTCCAATGTATAAATGTTGTGAAGCAACATTTTTCAATTAACAAGGAGACACCTTATAGAGAAGGTTTCATAATTTAAACAACTCCTGAACCATGATAGGTACTCACATATTTGTTGAAAGGATGAATCTGGGCATCCAATGTTGCAAAGGATTTTAGTTATTTTCAGATTTTTCTTTCCTTTTTTTATATAAGATTTATTTATGAGTGCTTTGAAAGGCAGACTTGCAAAGACACAGGGAAAGTCAAAGAGATCCTCCATCAGGTGGTTCATTCCACAAATGCCTATAACAGACAGAGCTAGGCTAGGCTGAAGACAGGAGCCAGGAACTCCACCCAGGTCTCCTACCATGTGGAGGGGCCAAAGGACTTGGGGCACCTTCTGCTGCCTCCTATGAGCATTAGCAGGAAGCTCGACTGGAAACAGAACAGCAGGGACTCGATCAGAGGAATGGGATGTGGGCATCCTAGGCAGGCTGCCTAAGCTGCTCACTGCCCCTCAGACATGTGTTTTAAGCTTCATTAGCCAGTTCTCTTAGAACTGTCAAAGTACTAAATTGAAAAATGATGCAATTGTGTTCCTGGAGCATTCATTACCTTATGATACTTTTTTTAAGATATATTTTCTGTGCTGGCACTGTCCATAGCAGGTAAAGCCGCCGATTGCAACCGGCATCCCATATGGGCACCAGATCAAGTCCCGGTTGCTCCACTTCTGATCCAGCTCTCTGCTATGGCATGGGCAATCAACAGAAGATGGCCCAAGTCCTTGGCCTCTTCACCCAAGTGGGAGACCAGGAAGAAAATCCTGGCACCTGGCTTCAGACTGGCACAGCTCCAATTGTTGAGGCCCATTAGGGAGTGAATCAGCAGATGGAAGACTTTCTCTCTCTCTCTCTCTCTCTCTCTCTCTCTACCTCTCTACCTCTCCGCCTCTCCTTCTCTCTGTGTAACTCTGACTTCCAAATAAATAAATAAATCTTTAAAAAATATTTATTTTTTATTTGAGAGATTGAGTTACAGATAGACAGAGGGAAATACAGAAATATCTTCTATCTGCTGTGCACTAACCAAATGGCCACGACAGCAGGAGTTGGGCAAGTCTGACGTCAGGATCCACCAGGTTCTTTCAGGTCTCTCACGCTGGTGCGGAGGCTCAAGCTCTTTCGCAGGCTTTCCCAGGCCATAGCAGAAAACTGAACTGGAAATTGAGCCTATGACTTAAATCTTATATTTAGCAAAAATGATGAGATCCTTGCAGATCTTCCAGAACAAGAGATGAGGATATTTCAGGAGAGACCTAATCCACATTTCTCTTGGCAGAGGAGCCATTGAAAACGTCAGCAGACACCAAAGAACATCTTCAACCTGCTGGAACACCAGAGGCACCTTTACTGAAAGCAGGATCCTCTCAGAACTGGAACTTGCCTGTTCATTAGATTTCTTCTTCCCACTCCTAGTCTCACTCCAGGGCGCCCGAGCCTGAGATATCAAAGCTGGAATCTCTTCCTTCCATGTGAGTGTTCCCAGACACATCATGACTTTGCAGGAAAACTTAGCTCTCTGCTCCCTGGGCTTCCCACACCAGGCCCCAGCTGCACGCCTCTGGGTTTGTGCTCAACTTCCCCTGTGGTTCCTCTCACTGTGTCTCTCAGAGCACAGTAGTACACAGCTGAGTCTGATAACTGCAGTGAGGATTTGTGCAGGTGGAAGGAGCTGTCCTTCTTGACAAGAGTGGCATGGAAACCATGATGCTCCATTCTCTGGTTTTCTGTTGTGCTTTTCAACAGGAGCTGAGGACCTTCATGGAGATACTGGACGTACCAGAAAAGGAATTCCGAATAGGAGTCAGCTTGGTAGTTGCAGTTCAGGGTCAGAGATGAGCCCTCGGAGAGGATAACCAGTCCCTCTGTCTGGGTCACTGAGTCTCCATTCGTCCTTCCTAAAATGATTAAAGTGTTGTTACTTAGGAATATATCAACAGGACAGTCCAGGAAGGAAGTTGGGGTAGAAATCTTCACCCAGACCTTGGATTAAAAAATCATTTAAAAAACATCACTTACACACAGTTATCAGCAGGACCACCACAGTCACTGAGCAAGACGCAGAGAGCATGGCTGGTGAGCTGGGAGAAAGACAAAGTCCTGGCAGCCTTAGATATACCCCGGATGTCAGGGTGAAACTCCAGCTCCAGAACCTGGATTCTGGGTAGGAACTCCTGGAGAATCCTTGCTCCTTGGAAAGACAGCCTCCCTGCCCTGCAGCAATTGAAACAATGAAGAGTGTACCACACATGCACCTTCAAATCACTTAAGCCATGTGGAAAATAACCCTCATCTGAAGAACGACGCGCCCTCTTGTGGTTTGTCCAAGCATCGGCAGTTTGCATCATGGCTCTCATATTTGACTCCACTCCTCCAGTATATTTGAAGTTAAAAGAGGATTTTGAAGGTTTTCCCACAAAGAAACCATGAACCTTTGATGTGACTGATGCACCAAATAAACTCCATTATAACACAGTGTACCCATGATCTTCCACATGATCTCTAAGGATTGGAAACCACCAGCATCATAGCCAGGTGTTATACTGTATTTTGATGTTCCACAGTATACAATAATGTGAAACTTCTTTTAGGGATGAAAAAAAGGAAAACTTTCAGTAATTATTTCTAAAATCTGTCATCTGTATGGAGTATTGCCATACTACTTCTCTATCAATTACTATCACATACTTCTCTCCACCTGAAATTGCATCACCACATCCTAGTATGCTGAAATCAACCAAATCACCCAATTGAATTTCATTATGGAAGAGTAACTGGGAGTACACCAGTGTTGACAAAACAAAAAAACATTTGATTTTTTCCACTTTATTTTAGATGGCATGATATGATATAATTTCTGTCACTGGTGTGCTTGATAAACCCAACGAAGAGTGAAACTAGAACTGCCTTTTGACTCTGGCCCAGAACAGCTTACACCTCTCAGGCACATACCTCCCAAAACCACAGGTTCGCCTCTGATGCTCTCAGCTTTGCTCTTCCATGTCTTCTAACAACAGAAAACTAGCACATTTGCCAGGATTGACAATAGCATCTTAAATCTGCAGGGACCACTGGGTCAAGTATTATGAAGACAAATCTTTTTGGACATTTAATTAAAATTCTTCCCTTTTTAGGCAGTAAGATTTTTTAATTTTTAAATTTCTGATCTGTGTAATCACTTTACATGTTTTTAGCTACTGTGTGATATTTCAACACTGCTGCTCGTCACGAGGCAGCAGTTCCGATAGAGCTCCTCACGGCCAGCCTGGGGAGCTCAGGATTCGAGCGGGATGATGAGTGTCAGCGGCAAAGGAACCACACCAGAGCCAGGAGATCAGTCAACGCCTATGCGCAGCTGGGTTCTCGACTTTATTGGGAGGGGAAAAGCTTTTATAGACACAGAAAGGGGGCTGTCCAGGGCACAAGGGAACTGAGCCAACCAGCTGAAAGCTAAGGCAGGACACGAGCCGGGCACGCTCTCACGGGCCTATCACAGCCGAGGACACATACTGTCCATGAATACGGAAGTCTCCTGTCAGGCTAGCCCTCTTGTGGCTAGTCCAAGAATCGGCAGACGCATCGTGGCTCTCAATCTGACTTCATTTCTCCAGTATATTTTAAGTTAAAAGAGGATTTTGAAGGTTTTACCTCAAATAAACCATAAATCATTGATGTCTCTGAAGCACCAAATACACTCCATAACACGGTGTACCCATGAACTTCCACATGATCTCTCAGGATTGGAAAACATAAGAATCATAGCCTGATATTAAACTATATTTTAACATTTCAGAAACATACAATAATGTGAAACTTCTTTTAGGGATGAAAAAAGGAAAGCTCTCAGTAATCATTTCTGAAAGCTGTCATCTGTATGTCCTACTAAAATACTAATTATCTATCAATTTCCATCACATAATTCCTTCCACCTTAAATTGCATCACAACATCCTGAAATCATATGAATCATCCAATTGAATTTCATTATGGGAGAGTAACTGGGATACGGCAAAAGCAGTGTTCAGAGGAAAGTTTATAGCAATAGGTGTCTACATCAAGAAATTGGAAAGGAACCAAATAAATGAGCTTTCAACACATCTCAAGGATCTAGAAAAACTGCAGCAAACAAGACCAAAATCTAGTAGGAGAAGAGAAATAATTAAAATCCGAAAAGAAATCAACAGGATTGAATCCAACAAACATTACAAAAAATCAGCCAAACAGCCAGACTAGCGAATAATACAGTCAGGATGGCTAAAGGTGACCCCAAGAAGCCCAAGGGCAAGATGTCTGCTTACGCCTTCTTTGTGCAGACTTGCAGAGAGGAACACAAGAAGAAAAACCCAGAGGTCCCGGTCAACTTCGCAGAGTTTTCCAAGAAGTGCTCCGAGAGGTGGAAGACAATGTCTGGAAAGGAAAAGTCTAAATTTGATGAAATGGCGAAGGCGGATAAAGTACGTTATGATTGGGAAATGAAGGATTATGGACCAGCTAAGGGCGGCAAGAAGAAAAAGGACCCCAATGCCCCTAAAAGGCCACCGTCCAGATTCTTCCTCTTCTGTTCAGAATTCCGCCCCAAGATCAAATCCACAAACCCTGGAATCTCTATTGGCGATGTGGCCAAAAAGCTGGGGGAGATGTGGAATAACCTGAGCGACAGTGACAAGCAGCAGTACATCACCAAGGCGGCAAAGCTCAAGGAGAAGTACGAAAAGGATGTTACCGACTATAAATCTAAAGGAAAGTTCGATGGTGCAAAGGGTCCTGCGAAAGTTGCCCGGAAAAAGGTGGAAGAGGAAGACGAAGAGGATGAGGAGGAAGAGGAGGAGGAAGAAGATGAATAAAAAATTGTTGTTCTGTCTCCTTGTGAATACCTTAGAGTCGGGGAGCGCTGGGACTGGAACACCTCTCACTGGAGACATGTCTTGCCCTCATTAGGTTTAATTAACGAGAATTGGATCTGATCATATTGTAGTTTCTCAAAGTGCTCTAGAAATTGTCAGTGGTTTACATGACGTGGCCATGGGTGTCTGGAGCACCCTGAAACTGTATCAAAGTTGTACATATTTCCAAACATTTTTAAAAGGAAAAGGCACTCGCGTGTTCTCCTCACTCTGTGCACTTTGCTGTTGGTGTGACAAGGCATTTCAAGATGTTTCCGGCATTTTCATTTACTTTGTAAGGTGGTGTTGACTCTCTGGTTGTGGGCTAGAGCTCCTGAGTTACCAGCTGTACATATCTATAGTTTGTAAAAAGAGCAAAACAACTGAGACAAACTCCCGATGCTCCTTGCGTGACACTGAGGCTGTGGGGCAGGTGCCTGTGCAGGGGCTGAAGCTCAGGGCATGCACTGCGAGGCTGGACCCGTTGACACTGCAGTGGGCATCCATTTCGCTTCAGGTTGTCTTGTTTTTGTATATAGTGACATAGCATTCTGCTGCCATTCGTAGCTGTGGAAAAAAAAGGGGGGTCAGCTGGCATGAGAAGGGTTGGGTTTTGTTTTTTTGTTTTTGTTTTTGTTTTTTTTAGTTAAGTGCAGTAGTTTTTTAACTGTTTGTTTTTTTTTAAACAAACTGTAGAACTCTTCAGTGTCAGCAAATTGAAGAGCCACTACCATCGATGGAAGTTCAAGAACCTTCTGTACTTAAAAGACTTTGCAATGTTCTGTTGTTTTTTTTTTGTATGTTTAGAATGCTCAAATGTTTTTGAAGTTAAATAAACAGTATTACATTTAAAAAAAATCAGCCAAAGAGCTAGTTTTTTGAAAAAAATGAATAAAATTGACACACCATTGACCCAACTGACTAAAAAAAGAAAAGGCTGAAATCAATAAAATCAGAAATGAAAAAGGAAATGTAACAACAGACACCACAGAAATAAAAAGAATTATCAGAAATTACTACAAAGAGTTGTATGCCAGCAAACAAGGAAATCTATCAAAAATGGATAGATTCCTGGACACATGCAATCTACCTAAATTGAACTATGAAGACATGGAAAACCTAAATAGACCCATTACTGAGAAAGAAATTGAAACAGTAATAAAGGCCCTCCCAACAAAGAAAAGCCACTTCCCATGTTGGATTGTTCTCTCCTTTTTAATTCTATCTAGTATTAGCAGACACTAGTCTTCTTTATGTGATCCCTTTGACTCTTAATCCTATCATTATGATCAATTAGGAACAGAAACTTATCACTTTGATTAGTGAGATGGCATTGGTACATGCCACCTTGATGGGATTGAATTGGAATCCCCTGGCATGTTTTTAACTCTCCCATTAAGGGTAAGTCCGAGTGAGCATGTGCCAAACTGTACATTTCCTCCCTCTCTTATTTCCACTCTTGTATCTAACGGGCATACTTTTCAGTTAAATTTAAGCACCTAAGAATAATTGTGTGTTAATTAAAGAGTTCAACGAATGGTATTAAGTAAAACAAAAAAAAATACTAAAAGCAATAAAGTAGTAAGTTGTCCCTTGACAATCAGCACAAGAGCTGAACAAGACATTGTTTCTCATGGTGTCCATTTCACTTCACCAGGTTTCCTTTTAGGTGCCCAGTTAGATGACACCAATCAGGCGACTCTGCCTCCACAAGGCCCAAATCTATTTTCCTGCTCTACTTTCCCATAGCACTTACTAATATGCTATAACATTTGTCGCATTTTTCTCTTTGTATCAGCCATGAGGGCAGGAACTTTTCTCTGGTTTATTCACTAATGTGTCTTTATTGTATATAACAGTGCTGTCTTGTGTCCATGAACAACATCAGGTTGTGAAATGCAAATTTTATATTTATACAAATGTACTTCAAATAGATTTTGAACTGATTTTCAGTACGATTAATCAAATATGAAGATGGTCCAAGCAACTTTAGTGCTCACAGCAGAAAATTTGAGTATGGACTCCCTGGAGAAAATAAATAAACCTGATCAACAACCAAGTGACTGTTGAATTCCTAGTACGTTGGAGTACTTGCCACAACAGGAGTGGCATTGTGTTTATTTTTGCAATTTTGTTTAATCCTAAGAAAATCCTATGAGAGCTTTCTATCAATAGATTTCAGAAGAGGAAACTCACCCTAAGAAAACTGAAACCACTCATCTAAGACTATACAGCTGATTAGTGACTGAGTCAGGATTTTACACAAAAGTGCTGACATTGAAGCACAGTGAGTTAAATTCCTGGTCTGCAGTGCCAGCATCCCATACAAGCGCCAGTTCGAATCCCGGCAGCTCCATTTCCAATCCAGCTCTCTGATATGTCTGGGAAAGCAGTAGAGGATGGCCTAAGTTCTTGGGACCCTGAACCCATGTGGGAGACCCAGAAAAACTCCTGGCTCCTGGTTTCAGTTTGGCGCAGCTCCGGCCATTGCAGCCATTTGGGGGGTAAACCAGTGGATGGAAGACCTCTCTCTCTTTCTCTCTCTTTCTGCCTCTGCCTCTCTGTAACTCTGCCTTTACAAATAAATTAAATAAACCTTTAAAATAGAAGAAGTGCTGGACTCTTGGGCCCATCCCTTTGAATGTGTACTGCCAGCTGGTGATTACCTCTCCCCCATTTGTTACCAACACAAAAACACTAGCTCCTCCCTGGGAAGTTATTTATTGCAAATTCCGCTACACCCAGTCATGTCTTGGCTCTCTCCCCATCCTCTCCCTGGATTGTTGATCAATGCCCCGCCATCCTCTCAGTGCCTTTCTTCACGTGACTCTTACCCAGACTCAGATTATCAGCATCTTTCACAGTGCACTGACTCTTGAAAAATGCGATGAAACTCCTGACTGATACCCACACACTATTAACACAGCACAGCAGGCTCAGCCTCAGGGAGTTTATGAACTTAAGAAGCCCATCCACAGTTACCAGTCTCTGCAATGGGCCTCCCCATATCCTCCTCTGATTGACATGTCCCAAATGCCAGTGACCAGAGTCCATCATTTCCTGATCCCAAATTTCTCTGTTGTACTGATTGTGATTAGAGTAAGGCATTTGCGTGTCCAAATACCGATGGAGTCTATGGTCACAAAAGGCTTCCATAGCCTTGGAAGCCCATGGCAAGAGCCTTGTGTGATCATTGACGTCATAAATAAGAGTGTTAATTGTTAAAGGAACAAAGGAAGTCTCTGTGCACTTACTCCACATGTAGGACATCCACCTCTAATGAATTGTACTATGAGAATCGACTGCAAAGTTTGTTCCCAAACTCTACTCTATATTTTGTGTGTGTGCATGAGTGCTACCTGTTGAAATCTATGCTTAACATGGAGTTGGTCCTCTGTATATAAAATCAAACTACAAATGAACCATTATGAAGAAGGAGATGGGAGAAGGAGAGGGAGGTAGGATGAGAGTTGGGGTGGGAGGGTAGGTATGGGGCAAAGAACCACTATATTCCTAAAATCTGTAAAAATGCATTCCTTAAAAAAACTTTAAAAATAAGTAAATAAGTCATAAAAAATAAAGGCATTTGGACTGCGAGACCCCTAATGCATATGCAGCCCTCAAATTCTTTGTTTCATTGTCTAAATTTCTTTCCCTTTTCTCCCACAATGTTCTCTCTGCAATGCTCCCAAGCCTCAAACGTAAGCAGCATAGTGATCGTATCACCACTGGGGCAGTGACTCTACGTGGCCTGGAATGAGGAGACACCAACACTAGCCCCAGGTGGAGTCAGCCAAAACCCACAGATTCTGTCATTAGGAACTGAACACGCTATGACATGAGGGATCTCTCCTTCTTTATAGTAATTGAAAAGTGAGTTAAGAAAGGAGGTAATATGCAGATGAGTTAAATTGATAGAAATGACAGTGTTGGCTACATAATAATAATAAAGCTGTCCTCAGCTTACAACATATACCTGGCATGAATAGCTGTAAGTTCCTGTCTTTAAAATCAATTCCAAAGGGATGCACTCATCAAATCCCACACAGAGAGTAATAAGGGTGTACATCCATCCTTGTGATGCCGCTGACTTACAGTATATAAGTAGCCAGTCAGTATGATCATCTAGTTACAAGACGAGTAACTATAAAGAAAGCAGGTAAATGTTTATCCCTATCATCATCATTGTCATCATCATCATCATCATTTTAAAAAATGTTTTATTAATACAAAGAGAACAGATTTCATGTATTTCACATGTACAATTCCAAGAAGATCAGCACTGTGGCTTAGTGGGTTAAGACGCTACCAGTGGTGCCAGCACATTATACGAGCACAAGTTCGCACCCTCTTCCAATCCAGCTCTCAGCTTATGGGCTGGGAAAGCAGTAGAAGACACACAAGTGCCTGGGCCTCTGCTCCCATGTGGGAGACCCAGAAGAATCTCCTGACGCCAGACTTCATATCAGCTCAGCTCCCCACGTTGTATCTGTTAGGAGAGTGAACCAGAAGAGAGAAGACTTCTCTGTCTCTGTCTCTCCCTCTCTCTGTAACTTTACCTCTCAAATTAATAAATAAAATATTTTAAAAAACAGTTGGACAGATAGAAGTCACAAGTCCCAGTGTCACATAGCACATAGTGGCTTTTATAGTCATGGTTATGTGTAATATTCTGTATAAAGAATGAGGGGAGGGGGGTTCCAAGATGGTGGAATAGGGAGAGAGCTCAGTGATAGTCCAGGAAAAGATACTTTAATAAAAGTGGAGATAGTGAAGTCTCAGGGTTGAGTTTGGGAAAAAACTGCACAGGGAACTGTTCCGGAGTTAGAGGGACATGTGGATCGACGTGGAGGGCATGGGTACCCATGGCTCAGGAGCCCTGCTGCCGAGAGTCTCCTCTGCACCAGCGCTGGAAAGAGAGGTGAGGCAAAACCACAGCAGCCTGAGACACTGGTGGAAAAGCAGCAGGAAGAGCCTAGAGGGAATAAGGCTTGAAGCCAGGTGGGTAAAGTACACCAGATTAACTACAGGAGAGAAAAAAAAATAAAAGGGATGGTACAGACGATTCTCTCACTCCACACACCTTACAAAGGCATGCAAGACTATAGAGCAGGTGCCATTTTGGACATATGTAACAACTGTGCCAGCTCGCAGCTGCACCCGCCCTCAGCCAAACAGAAACACCTGACTCTGGAGGGGAGTAATAACAGGACCTAGTGAATGTGTGGAGCTTATGAACCATACTGTGAAAAAAAAATTGAGGGTGTGTGGGA